GGGGATGAGGAGGAGGAAGAAAAAGAAGAGGAAGAAACACATATATTTGATCACTGTCTTTGCATGTGGACATAGACATTCTAAAGACATTTATAAATAGAAGCATTAAAAGAATCTTTTGTGCTAATATTTGGTCTTTGTCTCTGGTTTCTGACACAGAGCTCTTAAGACCTCTGTAATTTCCTGAGTGGCAGAGATAGCTGACAGAGAGATTCTAAATCCCTGGGAATTTCCTAGGTAATAAGAAATCTTGTAACAAGGTGACTCTTGATGGGCTCCCAGATAGTCTTAGGATGGGAGGTGGTAGCCAAGAGAATAGATCATGCTACCAGAGGGCTGGAACTTTCAGTCAAGATCCATAACATCTTGGGAGGGGAGAAAGATTGAAGAGTGAGTCAATCACAATGGGCAATAACTTAATCAATCATGTTTACTTAATGATGCCTCTACACAAACATCAAAGGGTAGTGTTTAGACAGCTTCCTGATGGCTGCAGGCATGGAAAAGGACATGTGGTTGCAGAGGGCATAGAAGCTCTGTGGACTTCAGTATGCCTTGCCCCATGCATGTCTTCCAACAGGCTGTTGTTCATTTTTATCCTTTGCAATATTTTTATTAAAATATATAAATACAAATGCTTCTTCAAGTTCAGTGAGCTACTCTAGCAAATAAACCAGACCAGCAGGTTGGTCAGCTGTGAAAACTTTCTGTTTATAACAACCTGGTTACAAACCTTGGGTTTGCAACTGACATACGAAGTGGAGGGAGTTTTATATTATCAAATCCTCCCCTTATGGGGTTTTATGTTATTTCAGGGTAGATAGTGCCAGTAGTGAACTGAATTATAGCATACCCAACTGGTACCTACTGGATGATTGCTTAGTGTGTAGGAAACCCTCACATGCACACACACATGCACACACACACACACACACACACACACACACACACACACAAACACACATATCTGATGTCATAAAAATTATGCTGTATGGATTGTGAATGTAGGCAAAATTGGTATTTTTTAGTAAGATAATTTTAAAGTTGATATTAGGAGTCCCAACACACTATAACACATTATAGATAAAACAATCAACATAACATGCTCAACATGCATGTTTAGGATTCAGCTTAGAGACTATACTATAGATTTGTTTATGCTTCACCAACCCATTGTCACAGCAGTGAGTCCATACCCACCACTATTGCAAATCCCCACCTCATTTCAAGCTTGTGAAGGGTACCTGTCAT